TGGCCCCAAGCAGGGTTCTACCAGGCTCTGGGGAAAAGACTAGGAGCTGGCCCTGAGTCACTGAGGCAGGCTGGGATCCCCACGCCCCCATTTCCCAGCTTCAGTACAACTCACATCAAAGCCAAGCCACTCACCCTGCCCGCCAACCCAAACCTGGCTGGCCAGAGCAGCAGCAGCCAAGAAAAAGGCCAGGCCTGACAGGAGCTATTTGCTCTCCAGCACTCCGTGATTGTGGTACAGTGACCGCGGTGGCCGGCAGAGTCAAAGGGGACACTGTTCTCTGAGGCCAGGACTCCCCCAGAGTGGGAGGAGGTGGCTACCCACAGCCTGAACTCAGGTTGGCTCCAGGCCTGGCACAGGCCTCCACGCTTTACACGTGTGACCTCATTTAATCCTTACAACAACCCTGCCAAAGTGGCTTGACTGTCTGCACTGACGAACAAGCAAACCGAAGTACAGGGAGATGAAATGACTCATCTAAGTTCCTACAATAGTGAGGGGTAAACCAGGTCCATCTGACTTCACTGAGGGTAACGAGTGACTCATTACCAAGATCCAGCCATTATCTGTTTCATGGTAAACCCCCACTGAGGGCTCGACTGGATTAACTTGAGCACCTACTATGTGCCAGGCCAACTGCTTTTGGAGTGTCATTTGACCTAAAACTGAATAACTCAGAGAAGGAGGCATCACTAGCCCCATTGTACAGATGAGGAAACTGAGGCTTACCCAAGACCCACTTTAAACACCCATAGGCCCAGGGTACTCCTTAGTAGTTGAGTGGGGTCCCTTCACCCCCTTCTTCTGTGTTAGAATGAGAGCAAAAGCTAGAAATTCCCTAGTGGTCCAGTGGTTAGGACTCTATAAATAGTTTCACTGCCAAGGGTCAAGGTTCAATCCCTGGTCAGGGAACTAAGATCCCACAGGTCAAATGGCATGACAAAAGGGAAAAAAAAAAAAGGCAAAAGAGAAGGGTTTGGAGTGATTTGGGGTAAGGAAATAAGAGGTACAAACTATTATGTATAAAATAAGCAAAAGGATATATTGTAAAATGTAGAGAATATAGCCAATATTTTATAATAACTCAATGGACTATAACCTTTAGAAATTATAAACCACTTTATTATACACCTGTAACTTACATAAGTCACTGCGGATGGTGACTGTAGCCATGAAATTAGAAGATGATTGATTACTTCTTAACAGGAATGCTATGACAAACCTAGACAGTGTGTTAAAAAGCAAAGACATCAAGAAAAAAAAAAAGCAAAGACATCACTTTGTCAACAAAGGTCCTTATAGTAAAGGCTATAGTTTTTCCAGTAGTCATGTACCGTTGTGACAGCTGGACCATAAAGAAGGCAGAATGCCTAAGAACTGATGCTTTTGAACTGTGATGCTGGAGGACTCTTGAGAGTCCCTTGGACCAGAAGGAAATCAAACCAATCAATTTTAAAGGAAATCAACCTTAAATACTCATTGGAAGGACTGATGCTGAAGCTAAAGCTCCAATAGTTTGGCCACTTGATGCGAAGAGCTGACTCATTGGAAAAGAACCTGATGCTGAGAAAGATTGAAGGCAAAAGGAGAAGGTGGTGACAGAGGTTGAGATGGTTGGGTGGCATCACTGATGCAATGGACATGAACTTGGGTAAACGCCAGGAGATGGTGAGGAACAGGGAAGCCTGGCATGCTGCAGTCCATGGGATCACAGAGAGTCGGACACAACTTGGTGACTGAACAGTTACTTATATAATACTGTACATAACAATACTTAAAAAAGAAAATGAATGAGAAAGAAAAGAAAGAGAGCAAAAGCACCCAAAGCCACTATCCTCTCGACTCCCAAATAATGCCCTGTGTGTGCTGCCCATACTGTGAAGTACAGCTGCATCAGGGCTCCTGATCCTTCTTGGGGTTTAGGATGACCTACTCCTGTCCTGTCCTTTCTCCTTGGCAAGATTATAAGTGTATAGTTTGATGAATTATCAAATGCAAACACAACAATATAACCTCCAAAACCTTGCTTTTGAAAAGAAGTATATTCACATAAGCAGTGCAGAAGCACTAGGGGAAGCCAGAAAAAGGGCATCAGTATGACAGTCTGCATTGCTAAGCAGCTTCCCGGGGATGCGGATGCTGCCCGCCTCCTAGCACAAGTGTGGTTCTGAACCCAGAGCGTCGGCATCACCACCTCCAGGAGTTCCAATTTAATTTTCCTGGGGCAGGGTGGGGCTGGGCATCCGTGTTTTTGACCGCTCCTCGGGTGTCACTGAGGCACAGTGAAGGTTGGAGCTCTTCAAGTGAAGACCACGGAATCCTCAGTGCTCAAAAGGACCTTGTGCGTTACCCTGTCCTACTGCTGCCTTTCATGGAGGACCAGAAATAGATCCCAAATGGGACGGAGACCTGTCTGAGGTCAAATCACGTATGAACGGATCATCAAATATTAAACCAGGAAGTGGTTTTTTTTTTTTTTTGGCCATGCCAGGGATTGAACCTAGGCCCTTGGCAGTCAAAGCCCAGAGTCCTAACCACTGGACAGCCAGGGAACTCCCAACAGGAAGTGATCTTGGAGTCCAACTGATCCAACCCTCCTTGTTTTGCATCTAGAAAAACAGGCTGAGAGAGGACAGGACAGCTGGGAGAAGCACTAAGGTCGAGGGTGGCTCTCCAACACAGCAAGCTGTCTCTCCGCTACCTTTATCTCCCTCCAAATGTCAGACCTAGCAAAGGACAAGCCCGCACTTTTCAACTGCAAATGGAAAAACCCTTTCTCCCCTCAGTCTCAAAATGTGGATTCAGGATCTTCTCAGACACTAGGATTATAGTATTTTTTTTTTTAACAGATACAAGCTTTTCATTTTAATTGCACATTCGTGGCAAGAATAATATTAAAAATGCAACTTGGCAAGACATCAGGACTCTGTGAAAGGGATACTGATACCTGTTACTATATAGATGTTGGACCTAAACCAATAAAACATAAACGAATTAAGGAAAAAATATTTGCCAACAATTATAACATGTCAAAGTTTCTTTTGATGATATCCTTCATATGTAAAGCACTTTTACAATCAATAAGAAACAACTTAAAAATGGGCAATGGATATCAGGAAAAGTATAAAAGGCCCATAAATATTAGAGGAGATGTCCAAATTCACTTAGAGTTGAAAAAAAGTAAATTTTAAATGCTGGGATACAACTCTCAACAATCAGATAAATAAAGATTGGAACAAGGTCCTGTCCATATTGTGGGGAAACAAGCAATTATGCACACATTACATTTGTGAACATGTAAATGTACAAAAATTTCACATTGTATATTCTTTACTCAGTAAATTCCACTTCTAGAAAGGTACCTCGCAGATAAATTCATACACCTGCACAAAGATTAGGTACAAAGTGTCATATCAGCACTGTTTGCAATAATGGAAAACTGGAAAGGGCCCAAATGTCCATTAATGTGGTCGTGCAAACAATGACGAAGTCTCACATGCTCCTGCTTGGAAGGGTCTACGTGTTGCAGAACAGTACATAGATTACGATTTTATTTGTACAAAAAAATTCTACAAACGTTCATGTGCATAGTTGACATATGCACAGAAATGTCTGGAATGATACTCTCAGCTGTTATTGTTAGATAAGAGGGAAGAGGACAGATTTCACTAAAAAAAAAAAATCTCCTATAATTCTGTGATGTTCACCCAAAAGCACCTACTACTTTGGTTATAAGTAATTTTCAATGCAATTGGGTTGTGCTTTCTATGAATTCAGGGGATTGCTAGAGGCAGTGCAGTTCTGGGGCTGGAGGGGAGGGGGACAACACATTAAACTTCTCACAAGGACACAAGCAATCTCATTTTAATAGCTCACTGGCCACCAGTACAACAAAATATGTGCTCTGTTGCTGATGAAATTCATTGTTTAAATTAGACAATAAAACACTAATTATATTCCTAGACATGTCTGTTTTGGGGTTTTCTTTTTTTGCCACACCCACATATGCGACACATGGCATCTTAGTTCCCTGGCCAGGGGATCAAACCCAGTCCCCTTGCAGTGGAAGGGCTGAGTCTTATCCGTTGAACCACCAAGGCAATCTGCCTAGATATGTCTTTGTATCAGGCTATAGCTAAAAGTAACCATTAGCTCACTCCCAGAAGAAATTCAGGGGAGAAGACAAAGGCGAAGTAGCAACAGATCTAGTGTTTAATGGCTTATGATAGACCGGAGCTACAGAAAGGCTCCATGGTGTCTACCCCTCGTCTTTCCAGGGTCCAGGGGCCGTGAAGGGCTCAGGGGTGGAGCAGGGTCCCAGCCTGAGACAGATCCAGAGCTTCGAGCAGGGCAGCAGGGAGTCTTGACTTTTATCCACAAACTGAGAAAGGAGTGCCTGTAGCTCCTCCTTTTGCTGAGCAGGGGAAGCGTCCTGCAGCAGGAAGGGCTGGGGATAGGAGGGGGAACACTTGCTCCTGTGGGTGGCGGTGGAAAGTTGCCCATGGCCCCCAGCTTCTAAGCCCTAGATCTGATTTCCCCATAGGATGAGTACCACCTTGTCGCGACCCCGGGGCAGAGCATCCCCCTGCCCTCTATCAAATCCTGCCTTCAAGACACAGCAGGTTATGCTTTCCGCCAATGCACAGGGCATCAGAGCCAGGCGGAGCCTGGAGACCTGCTGGGCCAATCCCTTCATTCTATAGAGAGGAAAACAGGTCCATAGAGGAGAAGGGATTTGCCCAGGGTCACCCAGAAAGTGGTGGCAGAGCTGAACCTGGACCTTTGAGTGAGAAAATGTTACACACAGCTTCTCCCCACACTTTTCTGGATCATGCCTGGCTGCCCCCTCCCCATAGCCCCATCTGTCATTCAACAAATACTTACTGAATACTTGCTATTTGCCAGATAATATTCGAGACCCTGAGGAGACAGCAGTGGACAAGACAAACCAAACTCCTACTCAGGTGGAGCTGACATTCTCGCTTAATCCCAATACCTACCTGTTACATTTGAGGAGCAGACACATGCTGTCCTGCTGCAACCCAGAAGGCCTGGTTAGGAAAAACCATTCTGCCCATGTCCATGTTGTGCAGGCCAGAGGCCCTTTTCCCTGGAGGAAATGAAGCATCAGTTGAAAACGGCCCAAAATGTTCCCCAGTGCCAGCCCTGCAGGGGTAATAGCCCCCAGCCCATGTGAATCCTCTCCTTTGATTCTCAGAACCACCTTTCCAAGCAGATACTCATATCCCCATTCTACAAGTGAGGAAACTGAGGCCAAAGAAGGTGAAGGTGCCAGGCAAGTAAGCATCTGGACTGGACTTTCTCCTTCCTCCAGATCAGGGTCTGGAAACCCCATGGCAGGGGCAGGCTGGGCGAAGCAACAGGAACAGCGTGTGTCTTATGCAAGCTTCCACTTTTGAGGAGGAGAGTAGGGGGTTCCACTGGCTTTTTCTCAGGGTGCTCAGGGAAATTCACATTGCCTGCCCTGTCTAGAGGATGCCAGAGGGACCAGCCCTGGTTCAGGAGTTAGCACCCTGTCCTGGGACTCTGGTGCCCAGAGCAGAGTTTCTAACTATGAGGGGGTACCAGCCTTTTTTGTGATACTTAATAGAAACCTTGAACCCTGTAAGAATATATATATATATCTCCCTTACATATGAACCCTCAAGTTGCAAACTTTCAAAGATGCAAACATGTATGCCATCGCCCGTATGTCAGCTGTTGCACAGTACCACTGTATTTTTCAAGGTACTGTACTGTCATATTAAAATTTTATTTTTTGTTTTTTATGTACATATTATTTGTGTAAAAAGTATTATAAACCTATTACAATACTATACAATAATATATATCCGATTGTGCTAGTTGGATACCTAGGTTAATTTTGTTGGACTTACAAATTGGACTTACGAACACTCTCACAGAATAGAATTTGTTCTATGCAGGGGACTTACTGTATTCTATTTATCCCCTCATATCATTTTGTACACAAATTCCTTAAGCCCATCCTTCACCATGCCTGGCAGTGGTAGACCTTCCCAAGAAGCTTCCCTTAATGGGGTGAGGAATCACACTTTGGAGCTGAATTCAGTGGCCCCTAAGGAATCTCCCACTCCTTAGGAGAATCACTACTTGAGGGGCCTGCAGACCAGCCCAGGCGGTGCTTGAGTGCCCCCTGGGGGCAATTCATCCAAGCGTCCCAGGAAATACTGAGCCATCACTTCCCCGGGCATTTAGTTAAGATTTAGTGGAGAAGAGTTGTTGTTTAAAAACCTGTTTTTAAATTCAAATTGTCAAAGATGGGAATGACAGTGCTCTAAAATGGCTGTCACTCTGCTCTAAATTTTAGGAGGAAACCTTTCAAGCTACTTCAGTTTCCTGACAATAGTATCTTGATTGCCCTGATTTCAGGGGAGTGACCATGTAATAATGTTGATCACTTTTTGCCAGGTCTTCTCAGCTATAAAATGGTCATCCTTGAGTTCAATCCCTGGGCTGGGAGGATTCCACATGCCACAGAGCAACTAGGCCCGCGCATCTAGAGCCTGTGCTCCACAACAGGAGAAGGCACTGTAAAGAGAAGCCGGCACACCAAAAGGGGAGGAGCTCCCGCCCCCACAGCTAGAGAAAGTCTGCACACAGCAACAAAGAGCCACCCAGTCAAAAACAGATGTTCAGAACACTACTTCCTCCCCCACAGGACTGTGTTCAGGTTAAACCCACGAAAGCACTCAGAACAGAGCCCGGAAGAGTCGGCACCCAACAGATTAAATCCTTCCTTACTATTACTGCTGTCATTGCTATTATTATTGAAAGTCTTAGGTGGTAAAGTCTGAGAACCTCTGCGGTGCCTAGCAACCGCACTAAACAAAATGTGTAGTTGTTTAGCGACCCCACTAAACAAAATGACTCGGATTCAAGCCCCACACCCACCAGGAACCCAGGCTCTACATATACCCTCAGGTCCCCCAGCCACTCCCCAGCTCCCCGACTCTGTGGGGCACCAGGACCCACATGGAGAGGTGAGCCACAGCTGACCACTACCCCCTCCGTGTTTGTGGGGGCCCCACCAAGTCTGAGGGGCTAAGAGCTGCTAGTTTAGGAAGCTGGGGGTGCTGGGTAAGAGGGGCTGGGGGGAGGAGATACTCCACATGAAGAGCACTTAGTGTAGGAAAGTGAGGGCCCCTGAGAAGGGGCAAGACACCCCGGTGAGGAGCCAGGAGACCAGGCACCTAATGCCTGCTGGGTGATCACCACTTGTCCTGTTACCTTGGACAATCTACACCGTCTGTGGGCCTCAGTTTGCTTCAGGCAGTGAGGCGGGTTGGACTCATGGTTTGAGTTAGAAAAGATGGGCCCTGTTGATCCATAAGCCCCTAGGACCACCTTCCATGGAGGCCAGGCTTGGCAGGCTCCAAGCATTGGGGCAGGAGCTACCAAAAACAAACTTGACTCTTATACTCGGGGTGGGGAGAACTGGAGCTGGCTTCCCCCAGCAGTCTTATCCCCCCAAATCAACTTCCAAGGCCTGTCTGCCTGGCACCGTGTCCCAAGCAGAGAGCACAGAAATGAAGGGCCATTTCACCCTGTCCCCCTTACCCCACCTCCTGCCAGTAATACCAGGCTGAGGAAGGAAGGGAGGGAGAGCGGAGGGGAAAGGGTGACAGCTCATCTCGGTTTACCCAGGACTGTCCCCGTTTTAGAACCGAGAGTCCTTCACCCCGGTGACCGCCCTCTTCAGCCTGGGCAAACCAGGACTGCCCTTCCCTTTCAGCGCAGCCAGCCGGCCCTTCTTCCCCGGCTTGGTCAGGACTTCCAGAGCAGAGCTGGGCACCAACCCCCAGGGCCCCGGGGGTGCAGTTGACTAGTGACATCAGAGCGGTGTGTGACCTGTTCCATAAGAGAGAGAATAAAGGCCACACCGGCCCTCAAGGACCCTCAGAACATGCTGCCTCACCTTGTCAGCAGAGCAGCCCATGCTGATGGGGTCAATTCCCAGGAGTCCAGAGGACACCCTCCCTCGCTGCCCACCCAGGCCCCAGCCCCAGGGCCACAGGGAAGAAAAACAATGGAAACAAATGATGAGATCCAAGATGCCCTGGGAAGCTGCCAAGCACCAAGGCACTAAGGGGAACCCCTCCAGCAGGGGGATTTCTAGGGGAGCATGGCAGACAGACAGAGCTGTGAGCACCTCACAGAAGTTTCTGGGCCCCAGCAAACTCTCAGAATCAGCAGAATGTTTCTCCAGCCCCAACAGAGGCACTAAAGTCAGGAGATTGCCGCTTGATGGAAGTGAGACCACCCCTTGGAGGAAAAGGGAAGAACTCAAACCCCCTGAGAACCACTTTTTACCACTCCCCTCTCCTATGCCGCTCCCCACAGAGGGCGTCCAATAGAGAGTAAGTAGAATCAGAGAAAAATACATTTCTATCTCTTGTTCACTGAATCTCTAGCCTGAGACTTATTCCAGCCACATCGCCCAACTCACACCCTGAAATCCTCCCGTCTCGTCCCCAAACTCCATCAAACAAAGCCCTGAAGGAATGACAGACAAATGAGACAGTACATTTGCTTCACTGTCCAGGGATTGGAATACCCACTCGGGCACTGATCAGCCAAGAGCCTGTGTCAGGCTCAGCAAGCTTCTGAGTTACAAACGTGCTAATTCCCATAGACAGACCCTCATCCGAACCCACCTCCTCCTTTTCGCAGGCCCTTGGACCTGGGCAGGCTGCAACCGGAGCAGCTGGTCACCCAGGTGCTCTCTGGCACTCTGGTCCTTCTGTATCCTCACAGGGCTCGTGAGACAGTGACTCTGATGGAACACAATCCCAGCTTTCAGGGGGGCCCACTCAGCCCTGATTAACTCCTGCTGAAAGCCCTGGCTGGCCCTGGCCAGGCCCCGCACCCCACACACACCTGTCAGGAATGAATGACCCTTTATGCCAGACCCGTCCTGGAGATCTCAGCCGTCGACCCTGCACCCCAGACAGCTCCCACTGCCACCCTCAGTCTCAGGGTCCCTCTTGACATGCTCACACACATTTTGAGTGCCTCTGAGTGGAAGGGGCTGGTGTTTGAAGCCGCAGAGAGGTGGGTGGGGCTGCCCAACCGGTCATAAGACGTGGACAGGCAGGGATGCAGTCAGGTGAGGTCAGGCCTCCAGGTGGAGGGAATCTAACATCTGCCAGCACTTCTGGAGGGATGTCCTCCAGAGCCAACCAGAGCCTGGGTATTCAAGGAGAAACAGGCTTCTTCTTCCCCCTCCCCTTTTTTAAACTTTCAATTTTATATTCCAATTTTATATTTATATTGGAATATAGCCAGTTAACGACATTGTGATAGTTTCAGGTGGACAGCGAGGGGACTCAGCTATACATATACGTGTATCCACTCTCCCCCAAACTCTTCTCCCATCCGGGCTGCCACATCACACTGAGCAGAGTTGCCCATGCTCTACAGTGGGGCTTTGCTGGTTATCCATTTAAATACAGAGTGTGTACATGTTGATCCCAGAAACAGGCTTTTTCAGTGGGGCACTCACCTTCTCTCTGCAGCCAGGGCAGGGAGGGGACGTGAGAGAGAAAAGAGTGGAAAGAGGTGCCGACAGGAGCAGCAAAGAGCTCAGACACTCTTCCAGAACCATTCGCCGCCGCCCGGCACAGGCCGTTGCTGCCCTCAGCCGGGACGTCGCAGGGAGGCAGAGCTCGGTTCAAAGCTGGGTTCTGCCAAGAGTCCACAGCCTGTTCTCCCGGGTCATGAATGGCCCACAGAAACCCCTCCCCTAGTGAAGCCCCTTGGTTCTCTTCTGGGGACCCACGGCAAAGCTTCTCCTTTTTGACCCGCTCACACAAAGTGCTGACCACCCCCCGCTTGCTGGATGAGTCTTGGTTGTCCCTCCCAGGGCACAGGACTCAGATGCACATGGAGCTTCCAACAAGCATGATTCCCCTTGGCAAAGGCGACACTTCCCGCTTCTCTGAGAAATCAATACCAGAAAGAAGCCGCTCCGTAAGTTTAACCTCCAAAAGGGCCTTCTCTTACCCTCACCTTGTAGTTACTTATGCAGTTTTTTGGGCTAAGAGTCAGGGGTCAGGGTTAAGTT